GCGAATTAAGGTCAAATGCGGCACAAAAGTTGCTAGCTCAGCCACCCCTTACCGCTACCCCTTGCCCCTTGCCCCTTGTCCCTTGCTCTTCGGTGTGCGTACCACACTCTGTTCTGCCAGACAAGTCGCGACGTCTGTATCCTGGTAAAGTTTCCCATATTAATGACAACGACATCGTCTTATTGGTGTTGTTTTTGTTTTTGCAAGACAGGATGTGTGCAAGCTTTTTTTGTTTTCTGTTGCAGCTGCAAGTTTGCGACGCGCATATCCTGCAGGTGCTCAGACTTCGACATATATTACTTGTGTAAGATATACAGTTAAATACTAGTGCAGTTGAGAAAAAAAATAACACTATGTATTTCGCCTGCATAATAAATGGGTAGAAATGGATTAAAATAGAGATATTTTGAGCAAAAAATAAATACTGTCTAAGTGTTGAGTATTCGACTAAAATATAGACGAAATTTCCGGCGTTTTCTTTCCAAGGTATTAAACAAGTTAAATAGTTAGTGTGTACCTCGCCTCGAAATTTCCCAATTTTTCTCTTTCGATATACACTCAAATAACTATATTTTGGTATCGATGTTAATCGATTTCCTGAAAACGAATAAAGTGATTGATTGATTGGTTTGCAATAAATCCAAATCTATCCAATATTTAGAATAGCATTCAGTTTATGGCTAAGAGTCGAGTGCCAGACCCAAATATATTTATGTTGAGCAATAGTCGTTTTATTGTTACGATAATTGCTTATATGCATTCCTTGCTGATTAAATTCTTTACTAATAAAAGTCTACACTAACAAGTGAGTTTAGCTTTCTTAGTGATTTAATTTATTTTAGTTGTATCTTGTTCATACTGGTTTCATTTATCCACCCCCATTACACATGCGCACACAAACACACTCACACAATCACATTTCATGCTCTCTAATTTGGGTTAATCTGGCTACAGCAATACTCTGAATTGAACTATCCAATCGCCTATTAAAATCATTTTCATTTCTATTTTCACTTTCATTTTTCACACACACACACACACACGCTCACATACATTTACGAACAAATTACCGACCTGATGCAAATTTGTCGTAAATTGTTGTAAGTGGCTTAACAACAGCAACAGTAACAACAACAACTACAACAACAACAATTTGACCAACAAACTTTCACTCGGCAAAGCAGCTTAAAGGCACTAAAATCAGCTCCTGCCCTATTTGGGTCAAAAAGCTCGCCCGCAGCTGCTGTGAAAAATCTTTTGGCTTATCTCAAATTTTGGGTTCAAATGGCAATGCACGCAAAGCCAATTGGCGGCCAACAGCAACAACAGCAACAATAACAACAATCTCTGGCTGAGATGAGCGCTGATAAAAGATGCACCACATGAACTTTGAACCGTAGCTCGGTCAGTATCCAATATTCCATCTGCCCTGACAATGAACTTTGACAGCGAAGCGGGTGAGGTATAGCAGGCGCTTGGCCAACCAAGACTTAACTGTTTTTTTGAGTGCTGGCCAAGCTAAGAGCGAAGGTTGATTAATTTATTTCAGATATTCTTTTTTTTTCGCAAAATGCGTCAGCTGGCATTTGCAGCTGCTGAAATTTACTGCTGCCTCCTCCTCCTCCTGTTTACGTTTCCAGCTTACATTTCTTATCAGAGTCAGACACACACACACACACACACACACACACACGCATTGAGCACACTAGTCGTCGTAATTGGGCTCCACGTGCATGCAGCGTTTAAATCAGGTCATGTGTCTTTGAATAATGTTCAGCTGTTGCTTTTCATTTTTCTGAAATTTACTTTTGTGCTTTGTACCCCCTCCCTGTCTCTCATTTTATTTGCTGATGCTGCTGTTGTTCTCTTATCAGTTTTTTTTTTTGTACCTCATTTTGTCTGCCACGCATTAAATTTGCCAGCGCTGCCTGTCTATCAATTCGCAGTCTAGAATCAACTATTTAACTAAGGCGACAACACTGACAGACTACAAGATATCCTGTTCAAATATATACATAAATCTCTGTATATGCACACATACTTTTAGTAAATAATTAGGAGTACACATTTCACTTGAGTTAGCAAAAATTGTAAGCTGAGTACAAATGTTTTCGATCTAGAGTTTTCTTTGATCTTTACAAAAGCGACGCGAAGATTAAAATAAGTTGAATGTCTCCTGCGGCTTTACAATCTCTCAGTTTGTTTGTGTATGTGTGTGTGTGTGTGTGTGTGTGTGTTCACAAAGAGATAATTTTTCATATATTTATGCATAGAAACATATTTATTATAAGATAAAGAAAGTCAGTTCAAGGTGATTATTTAAGCCTGTTTACAAAAGTGAAGGAAAAGTAATAATAAAATTGTCAAATAAAAAATAAATTATATAAAATATAAATATACATATTTAACATCAAAAATTGAATAAATTTCACCCGTCAAACATTTTTTAAAGCTTTTCAAGAAATAATGCCTATTGTTGAATTGAAGTGTTCTATGTCTTTTTGTCATGTTTTCCACGAGTTCGCTCAACTCAATATACATACACACATACTATATTATAAAAATATGTATGTGTGTTGGGGAAATACTAATATACATAAATACACCACAAAACAAAATAGTGTGAAAATCTTGTTAAATACACGGACATGTATGTACGTATGTGTACACAAACATGCACATGTGTGTCTGTGTGTGTGTGTGTTTTGTAGTCTCTCCCACGCTTTGACAAAAGCCACACTTCGGCGCTCAAACAGTGACATGAATCATGAACATGAATAAAGGCAGTTAATTAGTATGTGCCTGTGTGTGTGTGTGAGCGTAATAAGTGCGTGTTAGGGTTATTTCATAAATAAATTTGCACTTAACAAATGACGAGAATGTTACCAAACGCAACAGGCACACAGCATGCTAAACTCTTAAGGTGAACATTAGCGCGAGGGGGACAGAAATACACAAACACTTGCATACATGTGCATATATACATAGATTAACTGCCAGGCAACAAGGAAGTCGTGAAACAAAGCAATGCTTAATAAAAGAGAGGAGCAGACAGACCAACAGCAACAGCAGTCAGACAACAACAACGGAATTAAAATTTAATTTTAATCGCCAAAATGAAATGAAAAAGAACAAACAGCGCGAGCAGAGGGAGGCATATAGCGAGAGAGATAGAGAGAGAGGAAGAGGGGGCATGCAAGCCTATCCATTGACTACGCAGACACTCCCCAACACTGACAGACGTACAATATATGTATGTATGTGGGTACACATACAAACAAACGTGAATGCATACATACAGAAATGCATGCATGTTTGTATGTATGTATGTACATGCATACATACATAATGGATAATGGCGTGCAGACAAATAAATTTTCAAGCAGGGCAACGTTGCTTGCCTTATGGGCAACTGCATGCATGCCACACACATATACATACATACATATTTATGTATGTATAAAGAAAAGAAAATTTAATAAACACAATATACAAAACAGCGCAGGCAGGCAGCGAGATCTGCAGAAACACCAACACAAACACACACATAGTTACATGCATATGCATGTACATACACATGTGTGTGCATGTAAGCCTGCAAGGCTAAAGATTTGTAAGCAAAGAGCGGCGATCGGCAAGCGAGAACAAGCACAGCAGCAATAACAACAACCAGGCGAACAGGTCGGCATCAGGTAAACACATGCAACAGGAAGTCAACGTAGAAGCGAGACAGCTTCAACGATAAAACTGATTGTAAATATCGATAAATGAGCAGCGGGGCATAAGGCAGAATCTAGTCAAAACAAAAGGTGAGCCTCAGCAGGTAAAAAGAACAAAACGACAAATACACGAAAAAGAAAAACCCTGTTGTTGATGCTCTTCGTTTGTGTGCCTGTTTATGTATGTGTATGTACATACATATGTGTGGGGGCGCGACAACCGAAAAAGCAACTGTAAAAAATGCAACTGAGAGAACCTGCTAAGACTCGAGGACCATAGCAACAACAACGCCACAAAGTAATGTTAAATATTGTCAGAGGCACAGGAAAAGCACCGCCAACGTCGCCATCGAAAATAACAGCATGAGACTGTAGGAGACAAAGCAAAAGCAAAGGCAAAACACAAAAACAAAATTCATATAGATAGAACGTGAACGTGAACAAGCTAGAGCGAGAATGAGAGCGCAGCGTATGCAGTTATTTATGCACGCTGAGGTGGAGACAGAGCGTTGTCAGTGTGTTCTGCTATTTTGGAATGCCCAACAGATGAAACAAAAAATCATGTAGAAACTCGAACTGCCGACAAAACAGAAAAGAAGCGGCTGTGGTTGTACTTGTTGTTGCTCTTGCCATTATGTCAGAGCGCATGCGTTGGGAAAATGCCGCGTTGGGCTTTTCATCGTTGTTATTGCTGCTGCTACGTGCTCCTGTTGTTGCTGTTGTGCTTTTACATTTTGATTTTGGGCAAACGCACACAACGAATTTATGCGACGCCGCTTGTCAACACTGTTGGATGTTGGATATTCTATGCTGGTGGTGGCTGCAGTCGAGGGGGTGTTTTTTTTTTCTCTTTTTTCAGCTATGGGGGTTGTTGTTGGAGCACTAAATATGCTCACATAAAAGGAAAAAGAAAACGAAAACAACATTCAAATGCAAGCAGCGACGCAGTTAAAAGCCACCCCACATCTCCCGTCAGCCTCTTCCCCCTTTTTGATAAAAACAATTAACAACAATAAATTGCGTTATAATTCATCATTATCAAGTTCAATAGACTCCGGTCATTGAATCCAATTGCATTCTAAAAATAATCTCAAAATAATTCTACGACGGATTTGCGCACAGTCGAACTCTAACTTCTTAGCCAAATACCAATTACCAAATGAGTTAATGAACCCAGTGTTGATAAGAATACATTATTCAGATCGTAAATATATAAAAACTTATCATAAAACAATCATACAAATACTAGATATACTGTTGTGCGTATGTATGTGTACCTACCGTTTGACCATTTTGTTGGTTACCCCAGAGTTGTTTTCCTGCTGCGTTCCAATATCAACGGATTTATTATAATCCAGTTTTGAAGTAAAGATTTTGATGCGACGGAAATCAATTTTGGCGGTGTATCTGGATTAACCTTTTTAGATTTCAATAAAATTTATTGGAATTACTGGCATTTTATATTTGGAGCTCTCTATTAATATTAATGGATTCGAATTAATTTGTATTTTTTTTCGTTTTAATTCTCACTAAGGTAGTCCAATTGGACTCATTAGAAACGGTAACAGTAACGCAAAAGCAAAGCGCAAACAAAAACAAACGAATGCCATAAAGCGCATTGTAAACAAAAACAAAAAAATGGAGAATTTTATTCTATCGCTGCGCAGTACACATATGTACATATGTATGTACATGTATGTAGATGTATATATACAAATTATTATATTTTTTGTTTCTACGCTTTTTTAGTTTATGGCTTAATAATTTAGTCTCGGTTAGCTGAAAATTGCAAAAGGCAATAGCAACAGTCACAACAAAAACAACTTCGTTTGCGTTTTGTTTTCCGTCTTCTGTTTTTGGCACACTCTCTGTATGCCTGTAACTTATTTTCTGCAACACTTCAAGGGCTTTGCAGCAAAAGCCACAAACAATAGCAAGAGCAACATTTATTGATTCACTGTTATTGCAACTTGGTTGCTTCGGTTAAAATCAAACACAAAATAAACACGCGCTGTTGTCGGAGATGACTGCACTTTTTCTATTTTACGCGTTTACTTTTTCGTTTTCTTTGCGCTCAGTCAGCCCAACAGCAAAGGCAACAACAACAGCGAATAATTCCATATACAACACCTACAATCATGCATTCATACACATACACACAATACACAAACTTATGCATATGAATGTACGCACTCCTTCAAGCTAAGTGGCAAGTGATTTGATTTTAAGGACACTAACTATGTTTTACCTTTTTAAAAAAACAATTTAGTTAGCAAGCTTTATTTGCAAACAAACAACGTATTTTCATAGATTTTTACACTTTAATTCACTTGTCGCAGTTAAATTTTTTCTGCATTTCCCGAGTTTGCTTGTGATATGCATTCGCGGTTAGCTCTTTTTGATTTGCCGCGAATAAATTTAAAATGAATAATAATAGCTCGGAATTGAAATTGCAAAAACTTTAACCGTTTCAAAATATCTATAATTTGTTATCAAGCGGTCCCGTGTGAACACGACGCGCTGTTGTTGCGTTTTGTACAGAGAATCGAGAGATGTTGGTTTTATAGCAATATATCGATATGCCACACAATGTTGTTGCGAGACTCAGAATATCGATATTTATATGAGCTATTTTAAAGATGCAATGAGAAATTATCAAAATATTAAACTATGCATTGAATACATTTTGTAGTACTTTTTTATTAAATATATAGACATATTTAATTTGATATTAACATTTACACGAACTGATATCGATTTTGACTGTTGTATAACATACTCACATAAAACTTCAGTTATATTAACTCCTCATTTATCGAAAGAGAATCGATAATTTAATATCGACACAATTGCTAAATTTGAAATGTAAAAACTCTACTGCAGTTTGTTTTGTAATTTATTTTACAAATAAAACGGACGCTGTTGGTGGAATTAATAAATGCAGGAGGAAAACTGTCAGTTAAACAGTTATTTTCAATTTATATAGTTATCATATTTAACTGTGTGTTTTTTTTTTTTTAGGCATAAATACAATAACAAGAATTGAGGTGTAAAATGTTCACACATGTGATTTAAGGCATCTTAAGAGTTCTGACATATGCCAGATCAGTTAATTGTACATATTCTTAGAGATATTTAAACAATCCATCTCACATTTATATTTTATGTGTGTTAACAGTTTACTTCCCCGAATTGCTGCAGTTGCAGCGAACATTAGCCAACTGACTTATTAATTAGAAACTTATTAAGTAGAATGCGTTGAAATTTGTATCCTTTTTTGCTTTGCTTAGTAGTTAATTGAAATCGCCGCTTTTGCCATCGCAGGCCACAATCTTGACCTTGTCAACTTTAACAAACTCGTGTACCTCCCGAAATTCCACATCGTTGAGCATCAGGGTCCACACGTTGTCACAGAATCGATAAGTATTTAGTTTGCCCGCTTTGAAAGTAACTCGCGCTTTGACTCTCTGGTTAAGAGCATTGTTGATGCTTTTGTCAAATTGCAGCAAAACCTTGAAGGCCAATGCAGGCGTTATCTGTCCGTACTGCAAATATGGGGAAATATGACTATGACTAACTTTTCTTTCTTATCCATTCATCCAAACGAAATTACCACGTAATATATACATTTTACATACATTCTTTTCAAGAATGTAAATATATGACTAAATCAGCATTTTACCAGAATGCGGCCGTGTCTGCGACGCAGCTGCTAATGCATAGAGCTTGTGCATATTCTTTTTGTTGTGGTTGTGGTACTCACCTGAATCAATTCGTCCAAACTCTCCTGTAGTGTATTACCAAGCGTGGTATTACGATATAATTGATAAGACATATTTAAGTCGCTAAATTGTTGAAATTAAAATATTCTTTTATTGAGCTGCCAAAAACTAATGTAGCGATGTCCAAGATGCCGATGTTAGAATGTTGTATCGATAGTGTGAGTACTTTGAGTAATATTTGGCCACGATATGTTGATAGTCCAAGCAGTATTTAAATCAAATTTCTTGCGTATAATTGGCGAGAATGATAGATTTCTTTTTAGTTGACTTTATAAATACACATAAATCGATATGAATGTTTATGCTTACGTATTCTGATTTAAATAAAGTAATAAAATCATGTCCCTGAAGTTGCTGAGTTTCGTAGCACCTAGCTTTCAATCGTAATACATATACATGGCAAGAAGCAATGTGCTATGGCTGTAGATATGGGCGGCGCTTATCCTTTTTAGCTACCCTCTTAAGGAACACATTGATGCGGAAGTGGCCTAAGGGTAGCAAAATAGCTTCAACCAATCAGCGCTACGCCACCTCAGGTGTGGCGCCAGTAATATTTTTTATTAACGATAATTTTAAGCACCTTCTTGTTGATTGTTGATGCGACGCATAATTTGTGACGCGCGCAGGATAAGCGCTAACGCTTGACCAAGGCGCCTGCTACCGGTCAGCCACAAAGTCGGAAGTAACGCCAAGTTTCAGTTTCAGTCGCACGTCGATTATTCGAGTGATAAGTTTATAGCCTCTGCTCCTAAACAGCGTTTAAAATCGGCAGCACAATATGCTGCAGCAAGCCCAACCAACTCCACTCGATGTGGAGAACGTAATCAAATCCTCGAATTCCACACCGACACCCGCTCAGGTGACGGCACTGCCCGTTCCACCGCGTCCCTCTTCTCCGCGGCAATTCTTCGAACGTCTTTACGGTCATCTCGAGACGCGAACACACAATAGCGAGAGCGATGACATCGATGTGGGCACTCACCATGAGACGCCCTATCAGAGCGACGGCGGCAGCGCATCCTCTCCGGATATCTCGATAAGTGACGAACGCGCCTCACTGATCAGTTTCCCGTCTTACGAAGTAATCGCTCCTCCTCCGCCGGAATATAATCCCTATAGAACCATTTCCAATGCAACTTCACCGACCCTTTTGTCCTATCCGGCTTTTTCGGCTGATGCTCAAATCAACGCTGGATTTTCAGCATTTTGTAAGTATTACATATCGAGTTTGCGGAGTGAGTGAGATCAATATTTAAATAAATATCTCATTGAATATTGGTAGAAAAAATTAGTGAATGGCTCAAATGATCTGATATACCCCATACATTTATACATATATTCCTGAAAATGAAAAGCATCTGATTCGTCGGTCTACAAATACTACCGTTGCTATAAAGTTTCTATTTGCAATATTTATTCTTGCTCAGCGTCCTCCGTAAGGTTTAATCATTCGCCTAATATATCACTTCTATATTTATGAAAATCCATATTTTGTCTTGATTTTCGAAATTCTAAGGAAATGGAGAGATTCTAAAAATAGTTTCTTGTAATTGTGGGTATAGATTCCCAATTAAAAATTCAAAAATCCATGCCAGCATTCTAATCTAATCTAAATTGAATACCAATCAAATATATACTCCAGATCAGAGATTTAATCAGTTCGTTTTCTGCAAAAATCAACACAAATTTGGGGTCGACTTTTAGATATTTAGATCTTAGATCATAATCTGTGCCAGCAAAATTGACAATCGAGGTTCCTTTTGAGAGCCCAATGCACTCGCCAACTTAGTAAATAATGTATATATATGCGTATACTGTAAAGGTCCAGGATCTTGTCTAAATGGAAATAATCGTTGGAAGGGAGAATCAACCTATTTTGCAGATAATTCAAAGTAGTCTGTTGCTATATAATATATGTTTCGCCTATTCGAGCGCCCGACGGCAACAATTGAAGAAATTTTCATATTTTACATATATATGGCATAAATTGATTGTAAAATCAATATAATTTACCCCAACAACTTTTTCACATCGCTGCTTAAAATAAAACACATTTCCAATTTTCAAAATTGTATTTCAACAAACTAATTTATGCTACTTAAACAATTTTGTGCTATTCCTTAGACTAGTTGGCTTCATTTCTTAGGTTCCTCTGGCCTGCTCTCTCGAACTTGCTTCAAGTTACGCAGCTCGATTTCCAAAAACATGCGTAAATTAGGATCTTTGATCTTGGCTAAAACTATTTCTCGTGCACGCTCATCGTTGTCGCCGAGAATCTTGGCCACAGTCTGTGCGTATTCGACCCAAACGCAATTGGCACATCCTGACATGCAGCACGTAGTCGGTTCAGGCGGTAGCTGTGTGATGAAATAATTATATATATATATATATACATATATTAGTATTAGTAAATAGGACTTACCTCAATGTTGGAGGCATCTTTGTTCGCTAGAAATCTGACCTGAAGGGCTGTCGCTATTTGGGCTCTAGCACGGCCAAGCAGGCACAGAGGAACAGGCATTGGAACAGATCTGGAATATATAATCAATAAGTAAATCCCTCCAATATACACTTTCTTTATCTTTTAATGCATAATGAATCTGATTCGTAACTAATATTACAAACGTTGAGAACTATGTAAGTTAGGGCGAGAGGATGAGAGTGAGTGATGAGATATTCGCGATAATTACAGATGTATTCGAAAGCATCGTCTATTCCCATTGATCTTCTCTTTAATCGCTTTGCTTGACAAATCGAGAAAACTAATTGAAACCAAACAGTATCCAAATAGTTCACACGTTTTCACATGCAGGTGTGAAAGTTTATTAGCCAAAAAAATATGAGATGCATGAAAAAATCAGTTCCGCAGGAACTGCGAAAAAAGTTATGCATAAATATCAATAGCCATGCTATTAAATATCCTTGCACTTGCCGCAAACCCTTAAAGCAAAAACCCAAAGGAAACTGTAAGGCAAGCAAGCAACTGGCGAAAGAAAGCCTAAGGAGTGAGCGAAGGGGAAATGTTAAGATGAACAATGAGCAACAAAAAAATTGCAAATTAACAAAATATTAAAACTTATTCAGCCGTAAAAATTCCCATTTACTTGCGGTAATCTCGCTTATAGGTCGTTGCAAATAAGAGAACAAGAGGGAAAGGATAAAAGCAAGTGTGAGTGGTCTATGTGGCTATGAGCGACTGGAACATATCCTTTACTCTTTATATACATATGATATACGGTTTATAGGTTTATATACCCATAGGTATATGTATATATATATCAAGTTATTAACTTTTACGATCGTGAAATATTGATTTCCAGAAATTAAACAACAGCCGAATGAACCTTAGATAGATTTAACTGTTCGTCCTGGTCCAGCATTCAGTCGCAGTTAATTCTCCTCGGCTGTTATACCCGATTGACTAATTTTCAATCGATAAAATAAAAACAGAAAAAAAGATATCGAAATTAAGAAAGCAAGAAAGATTGATAAGGGGAGATGATATTACAAGGCACATCAGGCTTATAGACACTTATTTAGCACCCCCATTAAGCATATCTTACGGAGAGTTAGCTACAAAAAAATACAAATAAAAAAGAAAGTATGTCTAAAAAATTAACATTGTAATTGAGCTTAACAGGAAACCTAAAAAACACACGCAACAAACAAACCATTGACAGACACTTGCGCCGGCTCAAAGGACACTTGTCGTATCGAATTTCACACGTGATTTAAAAAAAATGTACATATATACATACATATATCTCCATACAGACTTATATAAGCCGCAAGCAGAGCTTAAGTCTTTTGTGAGTTAGTCAGCGAAAGGGTAATCAGGCGAAAACTAGGGATTACACACAAATGAAAACTTTACACAGCTTCGCAAGAGCATAAGGGCGCGAAAAAGGTGGAGAGAGAAAGAGAGAGGCGGTGCAGAAAAACAACAATTAGTCGACATGTACTCGGACATACAAGGGAAATAGAGTACGCATTATGAAAGTGTGCGGAGAATTGCGTTTGGTGGGCGTTACCGTTACAGCGAAATGCAAACAAATAATAAACAAACTCCAAGATATATAGAAGTGCAAATACTCTAATGATGGAAATTGTACAATATAAATTAATATATGTTTATATATGATTTTTGCCAGAGATGTTTTTTTTTCTTTTACTTTCATTATTTTCAAGTTTTTATTTTTATTTTTTCATTATTATAATAAGCTTATTTTGTATATTATATACATTAATTAATAATTATGTAAAGCAAATTTCTCGCAAATGAGTATTCTCATTTATCGGCTCTATAAGTTCTCTATGCTATAGAGACGTCACGAACAGCACGCTGCACTGTGAATATCCCGGAGGTGAGGGCATTATAATGTGTACAAATTTAACAATGGGAGGATGGGAGACAGCTGTTGGCATTGTTGAAAATTTCCCGGCTCAGATTGACGAAAATGTATAAAATGCTATGATGCTATTAAGAGACGGCAGAGGCAGGGACGGTGTCAAGGGGAATGCCACTGATGGACAGTCTAGGAACACGTGTAAAATGCATTTTAATGTGCGCTACAAACGCGATCAAAATTTCCGTTAGGCTGCAGTAGAAAGGGCCCAGCCGCCTGGTTAATTATTTGTTTAACTTGTGCGCACGCAAGGATATTTAGCGGATACACACAGTGCTCGAGATTGAGGGCAATTTGATGGTTTATTAATGTGAGATTAATTTCGTCCTAACGCTTTCCACAGTCAGCATGTGCGTGTGGCCCACTTACATAGATCATTGTTGTGGATTATGTTGTAGTCTTTAACGATTTGATTATCTGCTCTCCGTTTGGCAGTGGCTCGACGTCGGCGCAAGGAAGGGCGACAGAGGCGGCAGCGCACCACATTTAGCACGGAGCAAACGTTGCGACTGGAGGTGGAGTTTCATCGGAACGAGTATATATCGAGGAGTCGACGCTTCGAGCTGGCGGAGACGTTGTGCTTGACTGAAACTCAAATCAAGATATGGTTTCAAAATCGACGCGCCAAGGATAAGCGCATTGAGAAGGCGCAAATTGATCAGCACTACAGGTAAGGCAGTTTGAATGCCAAAGGTGGCAAGAAGGGTGATGCGTGGGTGCGGGGTTGAAGGGGTGAGCCTGAACATTTTGCAACGGAAGTAATTCAAAGAAATGTCACAAGTTTAATTGATGTACTCACATAAAATTAACACGAAATTAATTTAACGACATTTACGGGCCAATTAGACAATGCCAGGGTCTATCGGGGTCTTTGGCTTTGGCTATGGGTTCGGGTTTGGGTTGAATTGTGCTCATTTTTATGTAATACCAGATACAATCAATTTGCAGGAACTTTGTCGTGGCCAATGGTTTTATGACCACCATCATGGGACAAACGAGTTACGCGACGGCGGCGCCGGCTAACAGTACAGCGGTAGCGGCGGCGGCCATGTTAGGCAGCAGCTACTATGCCGCACCAGCGGCATTGCCCGGCCTGCTGCCTACGCCGCTGCCCAAGGATAGGCTCATAAATAACGGGCACAGTGCGAATGATAATTATGTTGACATCGCGGACCACCACCAAGAAGAACAACACCAAGCCCATGTGCCTCCTGACCAACAGCAACAGCGGCAAATACAACAGACCCAGCAGCAGCAACAACACCGTCGTAGCCACTTAGTGCCTCCGCCAAGGCTTATCAATTCGTGTTAATAATAAACCAGCTTTAATTCATTTTATACTTAAACGAAACGGATTCATATTTTAAGTTTATCAACTGATAAAACCCAGAAAATAAAGTAAGCTTAATTAGATGTATTTTTGGCCAATTTTACGTTTGCCAAAAATTAGCTCTAATACTAATGCAACAACTTGATACTTTTATTTTTGAGTGGGCGTTTATGGCGTGACTTAAATTTTTAGCTTTAAAAGAGTCAAAGCACGCATCACTGACTGATGAGTTAAGAATATCTATGGCAACAGTTTATTTTTCGAAGTTCGACGTGCACTGCACACACTTTAAGTCGCTTACCTAAATTCACTGCATTTGTGGTATCTGCAATTTGCCTTTTATACCCAAAGAAAAAATCCTTTTTTTTTAGAATATTACAAATTTTACTAAACGAACGTAATCAAAAACAACAAACAAACAAACTAGGGCTGGGTAAAATTATCAAGTCAAGACTTGACATCGGTATCACGCATCTATCGATATTCCTGTTAAACGATACATATTGCACATCCTTAACTTTTTCTTGGCGTGCGTGTCTAACGAACAGCGGTACCCAGTTTTTTTGTAAACTTGAAATAAAGCTGAGCCAAATATGCCAAACACCCCGCAGGCAATTAAATTAGAGGAGTCCTCAGAGGAAACTATTCCCGAAATATTTGAAATCAAAGATGATGATGTAAGTATCAGTACAAGTGCGGCATTAACGCCCACTCACTCCATGGAATCGCACACTGTGGTACATAAAAAATTTACCCGTAAACCAATAACCACATTCATTCATACAAATATATTGTTAACGTGTCCCGCAGGACATTTGTGAATTGGAGCACTTGCGCAAGCTTTTCATTGGCGGCCTAGCGCCCTACACGACAGAAGAGAGCCTCAAAGTCTTCTACTCGCAATGGGGCAAGGTGGTGGATGTTGTTGTTATGAGAGATGCCGCCACTAAACGCTCACGTGGCTTTGGCTTTATTACCTATACAAAGTCCGCCATGGTAGATACGGCGCAAGAGAATCGTCCGCATATCATAGACGGCAAGTATGTGTCAATGAAATCTGTCTTATTGCGTGGACTTAATCTAATTATTTGTTATCTGCTATTATCTCTCAATCTTGTTTTAGAACCGTGGAAGCGAAACGAGCTTTGCCCCGTCCAGAGCGCGAAACACGCGAGACTAATATTTCAGTGAAGAAGCTCTTTGTTGGCGGATTGAAGGATAACCACGATGAAGATTGCTTGCGCGAGTATTTCCTACAGTTCGGAAATGTAGTCTCCGTGAAATTGCTGACAGACAAAACCACCGGCAAGCGTCGAGGCTTTGCCTTTATCGAATTTGATGACTACGATGCCGTAGACAAGGCCATACGTGAGTGTATTGAAGTAAATTAATATATGCCCTTTATGACACAATTTTCATCGTTGCAGTTCAGAGACAGCACTCTATAAAATATGTGTTGGTGGACGTCAAAAAGTCTATTTACAATTTGGAAAAGAAAGACAGAATTGTTCAGAGCACTGCAGCCAATGGCAACAAGATGCCGCCTCAACAGCAGCCTCCACCCAAAACCAACATGCCCCCAACTGGTTACCGTCCCCAAGTACCTCCGCCACAGCAAATGCCGCCGTATCAACCCCCTCCACCACCAATGACTGCTCCGCCACCAAACTACAATTATTGGGGGCCACCGCCGCCCATGCAACCCTATTATCAGCAGCCGCCACCGCCGCAAATGAATGGCTGGAACGCTTATCCGCCTGCTCAGAATGGCTGGAATGCACCACCACCTCCACCACCCGGTGCTCCACAATGGCATGGTAATCAATGGGGCGGTCCGCCGAACATGCAGCCACCTACACCTGGTGTACCACCCGTGAGCCATCATCGGAGTGGCCCACCGCCACCACCAGTCGGTAACTGGAATATGCCGCCATCTGGGGCTCCACCCGTACCTGGTTCTATGCCAGTGCCTCAGGGCCCACCACCGCATCAGCCACCACCACCACAGCAGCAGCAACAACCGCCTCCCAACTTCGGGAGCGGCTATCAACAAAATTATGGCGGAGGTCCAACCAAGCACAACATGAATGGCAACCGCATGAATCCTTATACTGCTGCACCACCCAGCAGCTATCGTACGTAATTACAATTCCTTCAAGTCCTGTGCCTAATTACCAAGTCTTCCTTGTTTACAGATAATCAACAGCCAACAGCGCCAGGCTATGCACCGTACAATGCTGCAGCACCGCCGCCCTGTGGCAATGGTCCAGTTTCGGGACCCGTGCCTAAAAACGTTTCTAACGGAGCGGTTACGACTGCTGGAAGTGCGAACAGCAAATATCGTCGTTAGTTCGGGTGAGTAAAGCGCAAGACAATCATGAATCTGTCCACCATTGCGTTGTCATTGTTATGGTACGTTTATGCCTAGTATGCGGTGATAAAAGCAAAGTTTAAGGTACCAAATACTGACTCCAATTGTGCCCCACTCTGATAAGTTATGTCAAATTACTAATTTTTATAATTCTCTTTAATATAGATACCTATTTGTGTGTGCCTTAAGTGTAACACAAAAGCTCAGAATACAAGATACAAATACAGATACAATTAAATAGGCTTGTTGTAAGCTAGGACACGAACTCGCTTAGTAACTTAAAACAGGATATCTATATATTAATTAATATATATTAACTGCGTTGTCTCTCTATCTATCTCTCTCTCTTAATATATATGTATCTTGCTATATTTATACATAAATATCTAACTGAGCATACGCCAACAACTAACTAATGTTTTTAACTCTTGAAACTAAGTTCTCATGTTATTTATTGAACGATTTATATTCATATATGTCGCTTATTCATAAGACAAATATCTGATAAAAGTAAATTTTAAGATCTATACTGGATACAACTGTGAGTTGTAGCGAAATGCGTTTCATTTAATTTAGTGTTAACTTGCCATGCTTTATTTTTCAAAAAACATAAGAAATATACTTGCGTTCAGCGAATACAAATTGTAAACTCCAATTTAGAAGTTAATCAACTAGTGCTCTCTTTATCTACATATATATCTAATCTCTCTATCTACTTCAATACAAATTATAATAATTGATACCTAAAATGTAATTCAGTCTATAAAACGGAAATCAAATTTATCGCCCGTGCGTCGCTCAGCATTTGCATACAAATCGTAAACATGTATTTTTGTAAACGAATTTAAACATAATCCAAAATTTAGCCAGAGCTTATAGAGCTAGTTCGCGTAGCTCTCATATAATCGTATACTCTTATTCGTATTCGTATAGTATGTTAGTTACTAGACGCCTTAATGCCCGCATAACCCGTTGTTGGCCATCGAGGATAATAACAAATGACAAGATACGTCCAGTAATAGTAAATGAAAATCAAATTAAGTCGAAAGGCTGTTTAGCAACGCACGGCTGCGATTAATCTAAAATATATAATAGAAGAGTTAATTATTATGATAGACATATTATATGAATAATTCTAAACGAGTTGATATCAAATTTATTGTCAATTTTTATAAACATGGACGTATATATATATATGTATATATACGTATGTTTATATATATAAACGTATTTGTATATGACTGTCTGATATACACTCTATTCACAGTTGTATTAAGTTGTAAACGGTTTCCTTACACTGAAATTCATTTTACTGTTTCTGCAGAGCGCTTAATTCCCCCACTTTTCAGAACTTGCACATTTAGATGTATATAGATATATATAAATACAATATACGATTATTGAATTGTGCTTTATTTTAACATTAAACAAGATAACAAATGAAGAGCCAACAAAATTAAATAGATGATTTGTTATTGTTAAGAACTCAACCACGACATGAACTCTAAGTTTAGTTTTAGTTTATCAAAAATGCAGATGTTATAACTATATATATTTTCATATGTATTGATATTTCTAAGTTTTTATGTAGCGCTCGCCAAAGGCTTGAATCAATATACATACATAAATATATATATATTTTTTGTTTAAATCCATGATATATGAGATATGCATTAAATTATGTATGGATTAACTAAGAGAGCGTAGTCCCTAATTTGCCCACTTAATTTAGCTCTAGCATATTATAACTATTATATTACAATAACAATATGAAATTCAAATATCAATCTATACATATTTATTTTTAAATAAATAAATTCTTGAAAACCACACTATGTATATCTTAATATTCATTTGAGTTGAGACATAGCTGAATTCTTTTAAGTAAGTCTCGTTTAACAACGGAAGCAAACTAAGTACACGAAAATCGAACTGCTTAGACAACAAATACCTAAATTAACAATTTTTAATGTAGTTAAATCTATGTTAAGTGTATGTGTGCATATATGTATATATTTTTATATAGTATGTATATGCATATACATATATATACATATATGATTGTACAATACGCCACGAGCCTGCTTGCAAGAGCTTTCATCAAGCCTTAAGGTAAGTTAGTTGGGCACAATTTTAGATGACACAATGCTTTAGTTAATTACATTTATCTAGTTAAGTAACGCTATTTATATCAAACTCTATCACTTTTATGCAGCATTTCTAAAAGAATCACCAAAATATTTCTTTTCCGACAAAAAAAAAAGCACTGCTGGATTTAGAGAGGCAACACAGCTCGAGCACAATATCTTTGTAGATCTCTGAAGGTAAGTTAACATATTATATTTTCTTGTATTATGTCTTCTATTGCACTGTATATAGCGTGCTTCTCTATAGAGTATACTATTTTATATGTCGTGAACTCTGAATAAAATCTAAAACATATTTGAGTAAGAAAAATCTGTGTTGTTATTGCACCGAACATGTTGGCAGCCAACAAGTTTGGCCAGCTTAGTGATATGCGGACATTTAATGCACGATCCGTAATCGCCTCGTACCCCAACATCAGCCCCAATCAACAGTCAGTCGTTCGCCGTCGACGCATTCGGACATACGAATTCTTCAAATCGTACAGGAATTCTAATTACAAATTAATATTGTAAGTATATATACAAATAAGTATATGTGAAGTAAAATAAGAAAACAGTTGCAGAAGATAATGTGAACCCCTTACCGTTTATTAAAATATGTGATAGATGGAATGTTTTGAAATTCGAGTGATGTTGGCTTTTCGCGTGCCTCAGCTGGAAATTGTATTCTGATATTCAAGTTCACAGTAAAAGTTAATTGAACTCAATTCTCTGGCGAAATATTGGCAATTGATTGCATTGAATTGCTCAAAAGGTTTTAGTTCTTTAACCATTCCAAGGTTAGAGCGCCTCATAGAAGTGTCGTAATCCAAGTGCAGTTCCGCAAA